AGTAAGTCTGAGGAGAACTTCAGAGTAGTTCTGAGGAGAACTTCAGAGTAGTTCTGAGAAGAACTTCAGAGTAGTTATGAAGAGAATTTCAGGGAAGTTCCGAGAACACTGGAGAAGTTCCATTGGCCTCAGGGAAATTTCGGGAAGCTTATTAAACTACCCGGGACCACCCGCAACACGTATGGCTAGCGTGGTCCTGAGTACTTAATATGGTCACCAATAATACTATTTTTGAATTCTCATGTAGTTTGAAGTGTCACATGAGGATGTAGGTTCAAGTTTCACTTCTCTGGAGGTATCCGGAACATTTCCGGATCTGGCCAACGTACTGAGTACTTAATGTGGCCACCAATGATCTTATTTTTGAATTCTGATGTACTTTGATGTATCGCAATCTGACCTCTTCCCCAGAGGTACCCGGAACATGCCCGGATGCATGATTCTGACTACTTACTACGACCTTGGATGATTATTTGGTTCACGTCTTGAAGGTTCTGGTTAACCTAAAATTGAAAAAAATACAATTGAAAACATTGAGCACTTCTCAGGCTGACGCTCAACCGAACCGCGTTTTTCAAAATGTTGAGAAAAAATCCGTTTTTGTATAATTTTTCCGCAACGCGCTTATTGCGGGGTGTCAAACGGATTTCAGTGAATTGGAAAATTTGCGCTTGCGCGATTTGACTGTCGGAAATCAACATTTAAACGTTAATTTCACTGTATTTTCTCACTAAAACACTTCGCTGGATGTATTTGAGGGGGTATGAAGGAAAGGGGTGTAAGTGACTTTGAGCGATTCTCTTCATCGACTTTCTCTTGTGATAGCCAGAGCTTTATAAACAGATTTTGCGCTATTTCTGCCACACAGTCTGATAAAGGAGGTTCTCATCTAGCATCCAGAATGGCACACGAATCAAGGAATGTGTTTATAAGCTGAATTATTAATGAAAGAGAAAGTCGAAAGAGAAGAGAATCGATCAAAGTCACTTACACCCCTTTCCTTCTAACCCCTTCATTTTAACTATTCCTTGATCTTTCAGCTTCAATCTGATTACATTTTTACGATTGAGCAATCCCATTATGTCAGCTTTTTCTTCAAATGAAATATACACACTATAACCAACCGGTGGAAACTAACGATTTTAAATTGGCTCACTACTTGACTAGCCTATTGGTGCTATTGGCATAGAGGTAACTCAGTTCTCAGTTCTGTTCTCTCAGTTCTGGTACTCTCTTCGGTCCCAAGCTAATCGATTCACCCCTCGAAACATAGGAAAATCCACTAACCCCTCATTTTATCTGTCAAACTTTCATAGTGAATCAAAACAAACATAGTTAGTACTAGAATTTCGACTAGAATGGGGTACATTAATCGTTTGCTTGGAACCAATAGGCTAATCAAGTAGTGAGACAATTTAAAATCGTTAGTTTCGTATTGATTGTTGCTATTGGTCCCAAGCAAATCGATTAACGTACCCCATTCCAGTCAAAATTCTAGTACTACACTATGTTTGTTTTGATTCACGGTAACCGCAAAATACCCTATAATGACTAAAAAGTAAGCATTTTCGAGGGAAACTGGGACTACCCATTAAATGAGTAAAATTTTACCCATTTATGAGTAATTACAACTACAAAAACAAGTAGTAAGTATTCATTTTTGAATAAAAAATACTCATAAATGGGTAATATTTTTACTCATTTTATGGGTAGTCCCAGTCTCCCTCTCCCTTAATTTGTAGTCATTATTGGGAATTTTGCGGTTACCGTGTTCGCTATGAAAGTTTGACAGATAAAATGAGGGGTTCGTGGATTTTCCTCTGTTTCGAGGGTGCATCGATTAGCTTGGGACTGAAGAGAGCACCAGAGCTGAGCCAAAAAGTTGAGCACATTTCTTCGGGACCTTCTTGTCTTAGAGTTACCTCTATGCTATAACTAGGGCTGCTTCCGAGTTACAGATAATAGAACAGCTGGTTAACACGCAGTTCAAATGGAAAGGTTCCATGTTCTCAGTCATCCTCACAATCGGATTCCGGAACATTCGGTATGTGGTCTAAGTGGCGGTCGAAGCTCCCAGGTTACAAACATAATATGATATAACTCATTTGCTCGCTTTTGATTTTGAGAAATCAAGCTGAACATTGCATTAGGTCCTAAGTAACATTGACAGATTCTCTTCGTCGACTTTCTCTTTGCATCCTTACAGCCATGTTAAGACATTCCCAACTATTTTTAGCTTACAGATCGACGAAAACAGCTATTATCTATCTTCTACTACGACAAAAAAAAATACAAGAAACGGTTCTATACCCAAGTTATTAACGAAAGAGAAAGTCGAAGAAGAGAATCGATCAATGTTACTTAGGACCTAATTCAATGTTCAGCTTGAAATCATTGTGTTTCAACACATCCGCAAAACAAACAACCTATGTGAATGACTCCGGAACCGGGTGGCCAATTTCAATTCTTCTGAATCATATCAAAACTTGGAGAGATTCTGGTTCATGTTGTAACCGTTCGGAAATTTACTCGAGGTTTTAGTAAAACACAATGGCTTAAGCGCCACTCTCGATTAAGCGAGACCACTGGTCGCGTTTGGAATTTAGACCGACAGAGAGAGACTTCTCCTCGGGGGACCTCTCGAACGGTCGTTGGAATCTAACGGCAAACTTAATGGAAACGTCAAGGGAACTTCAGGTACGATTATATAACGACGTATTAATATGACTCATTCAAACACCGAACGATGCGGAAAACAAACGGAAGGAATGCCTACTCAAATTGAGCGAAAACGAAAAGAAACGGAAACGTAACGTAGTGTGAGTTGTGCTTTATTCCGTTGAGTAGCATTAAACGTACAAAACTGGTCTTAAAATTTCACGTTTTTCTTGTATTTAAGCTTCATTCGTTCGTGTTGGACTATTGAGTGTGGGTGTACGGGAAAAAGTATACGTGGCTATGATACGAAAACTCCAACATACCTGCGCAGGTTTTTATCGATGAACTGCTGACGGACGATGGCTCGATGTCTTGACGATGGCGACAGACGACGACTTTCCAGAAGAACTAGTGATGTCTGTGGCAATGACGACGAAACGTGATGGTGCCACTCAGATGCTGCAATTTGGCGCGCAGCGATGGAAGGTCACTCGTGTGCGTTATGGACCTTAATACCATTTTGGAAAATCGGACATCAGTTGTAGAGACATTGAACGTTGCCCCGCGCAGGCGACATGCAAACTTCCACTGTCTTATTTCAGGATAATGGAAAGCTAATTGCTCAGGGTTATGCTGCAATGCATAATGCATTGATTCTTGCGACTTGAACTTGAGGAAAACCGACTTATCCTCCGAAATCCTGTACGTTGTTTCCATTTCGACGTGATTCGCATCCAGTGCTTTCATAAATTCGGTAATTTCACCCATGGTGGGCTTTGCACATCTATTGGTAAAGTCAAATCCAATTGTGCTCTTCATTTCTACCCGTTTGATTTTCAATTCCAACGGCGAGAAAAATAATGGGCACGACACACAAAACCTAGTCCGACTGTCCGTATCGAACAAAGCAAAGAGATAGCCCAAAACACTGCCGCACTCTTTGCTGTCTCAAAGGAAACTAATTTTCGGACAATTGTCCTCTCGATTTTTGCGTAGCTAACCCACCCCCTCATGACTTCCTAAGAAAAGAGGATCGTTCTCAATTTTCCTACGCAATGATAAACTGAACCGTAGACCATCTTGCCACTTCACAAGCTTCTATATATAGTTTGATCATTTCTACTACACTTCGTAGCCTATTCATTAATAGTATCCAATTTGAAATATAGCCTTACATAGCTGCAACCTGTTGCACGTTCCACATCACTACTACTTTTGTTTTATTTAATCATTGAATTAATTGAAAATATAGCGGCAGATTTTTTTTTCCTTAATGCAGCATTTGTCTGCCTAATTTCCAAGTGGTGCTCCAGTTTTCGCGGAATGCCATCAACGACATGCGTTTGATCTAGAGAGGACACACTATGGAGGAGATGGGACATTTTAGAATTTGGTTCAAGCTCACGATTGTCAATGCCAATATTCTGATTGCGGTGCGGATCTATTGAATCGCCACCAGAGACGCTGGTGGCGAGAAATAGTGACACACGCATACGGTTGCAATTGTTCACCACACTGAAGGCTGGAGCACATTTTTTTTTCGTTTTTTTTTTTGGTTTTAATTAATTCACAATTGTAAATATATTTAAATGTCTTTGATCATAGATCGATAGTGCTGGAATAAATAGTGATGTGTTGAGAAAAGAAAATCATTGCCACAATAAGCTTGCTAGTTTGAGCAAACTAAATTCGGTTTAAAGCTGTTATTACTGTATGTCCTATTGTTTATCACAAAATATAAAGAAACAGTTAGATTCGAGAAGCTAAACCTTTTCCATTTAATTGGTTCGTTACGTATACTAAGATGATGCAAGGATATACCGGATTTTACGAGATTTACCCCGCATAAAACGCAATCGGCGTACATTTCGCGATGGATTTGAGATGTGAGGCGTCTTTTATAGTGAGAATCCTGTTTGAAGCTTATCACAATAGAAAGAAATAGATAACGGACTGTGTTTTCTTCACATAAGGTCAATTGAAAAACAAAACTACTTAACCCTACTTAAGTTCAAATGATGACAAGTTGTTTCGACTCGGAAAGATCCTAAGAAAAATAAAAACACACATCCACACGCCTTCCATATATAATTTGCCTCCCTGTCAGTCTAGAGTTTAAAAACTAAAGCGAAAAAAATTTGAATTAATTACATTTAGCACAACCGTTGTCTCCCGTCGTCCCGATTTTTTTCTTCTTCTTTTGTTTTAATCCTAGCTAGGAGCCGTAAAATGAGTATTCCTGTTATTCCTGTTCGACAAAAGTTTAAAAAAAAAAATGGGAATTCGATATTTGGATTCTAGCGAGTAGGATTACAGCAAAACACTCCCGTCTGCAGTCGACAGTAAATTCTTTCGTGAAACCTTTCCGCGAGTGCGAGTGCTGCCATCTAGACGCGCCGCCCTAGTACACGTAGTTGCTTTGCGGGAAGATAGCCCGGGCCGGCAAGTGGTCCGGATCCTGCTGGTTGCGATAGCGACGGGTCAGGAACACGGCAATGATCTGCGGGAACCATTTTCGGATTGTTTTATAATCGCATTTGAGGAGAAAGTATAAGCAAACCGTTAATCAGTGCGACAATGGGCGATGATTCCGAAGACAGTATATCAAGACGAGCAGTGCTTTGGCGCTTGTATGAGATAGCGATAAAATGTGGTCAATCTGCTTGATATGTTGTCTTCGATAATTTCTAAAAATAACAAGCATGCGCAAAACAATACCGATTTATGGAAATGGGAGGGAGGATCTAGCGAACGTTTGCAACAGGTGGATGGATCACTGGCGCCATCTCAATTTGAAACGCTAAATGCGCACATTCACGAATAGATGACATTCGTTCGTATAGGTAAGAGAAAAGATACGCAGTGCATTCTACGAACTGTGGGTGTGTGCGTGTTTACAAAAAAAAACAAAGCCAAAACATAAAACTTCAAACAATAGTGGATAATACGACATTGACAGAACAATAACAACAACAACAGCACACCACACACGAGAAAGAGTAGGGGGACAGAGGCATCAGAAAGAAGACGACTACAATTTTGGAATTACCATTGAACTCGTCGACGGGCGACGGATCGGAAAATCGAGACACACCACGACACGTTGTTGTGCTAACCGCCCATGTGTGCACATGGGAGGAGAAAACAATCGAAATCTCGAAACAAACTCTTCAACTTAGATAAACCAAAACAAACAAATTCCTTAGAGCTCCGTTACAGGATCGTCCCAATCTTAGAGGAAAGCACTCGGATTGCCCCGGGGATCTTTCTGGTTGCGGTAGCGCACGGTTAGCCAGACACCGATAAACTGCCACGCAGGAATGTTGTTGGTTTTCAGATTCATTGCGCAAAGAAAGTTCACAAAAAACAAAAATTGCCGTATTATTTTTTTTAGTAACCAATCCATGCCAGCATGAAACGAGATGATATTCAAAAATATGGGAAAAATATAGGGAGAACAGAACCCAATGAAAACGGGGTTAGGTAAAAAAGTTTCCTATCTGGGAATTGATTTTAGAACAAAAACTTTTTCAAATGTGATTAAAACAAGTTTTTAGAACAAAATCGAACCACTAGAGGGGTGAGTGCAATACGTACCTCGCTGAAACTGAAGAACAGTCCAATTCCTCCGGACAAACGGAATGCATAGTCGATGGTGCTTTCCAGCTTCGGCATGCACGGAGTGCAGGAGCACGTCTCTGGTGAGCCCTCCGGGCAGCATTTGACCTGTGTGGGTTATAGAGGAAAGGATGACAATGTAGTAAGCTGATTCATTAGCATAAATGCAAGATTAAATTTTCGGTACAAATAAGTAGGAGAAACCGGAAATCGTCTCTCATAAGTTTCAGGTGTCATATGTAAAGCTCTACGTGGCTGGTAATCGATTGGGTTTTTTTTAGTGAACCAAGGAGCTTGGTGGTCTAGCAACGACCGTTTTTGCTTACTGAACAGAATATAGAAGTAGGTCGGATTGGCAAGATTAAAATTATATTCTCTGCAAAATATGACGTATGCTCGATACGGCTTCGATAACATAGTTGGCATCTCAGTTGGCACATTCCGGGAACGTATTTTTTATACTATACTATACTATACTATATAATTGGTTGAAGTGATTTATTGGCTCAGGGACCTGATTGACCATCTTTTTTGCCTACTGAGCAGTTCCACGCCAAATAACGAATCAGAAAAACTCGACCTTCTCCGATTTGCAAAAAACGTTGGATAATTGTGTGTTATGGGCAATCATTCACAGTTTTACATAAGTTCGGTCACTTTGGATCACAAACGAAGTGACAGACGGGAGCGGCTCGAAAACTTTGGTGACGAACCTGCTGTTGCAATTGTTCAGTGTACCAAATGGTAACACTAAATGTACTAGAATGTTTTGGTTCAATCTCTTTCACTCCGGGGCGCATTTTAGCCCACCTTACCCAACCTAAAAACGCTTCCAAACCATCAAATAATTAAAATTATTGAATCAATTTTCCCATGACGATAATGAAATGTGTATATGTACTTTGGGTGTTTTTTTTTCAGTAAGATTCAGGAAAGCTTCAAAAGCCTGGGCTGTAGTGAAGTTGGCACGGTGTGGTATCAACTAGTTGCCTAGTGTAGCTCCACTAAACCCCATTCCTTACTCTCTCTTCTGCCTGGATCCCCCGGGACCACGATGAAGCGACTATTTCGGGAGGGAGGGGGTTCTGTGCTCATGCACTTCTCATGCTCTCAGCGCTAGTTGGCGTTGGTAGATCGCTACTCGACACAATTCATCGACAACATTCTCCACAGCCTCTTCAGCCGTGGCCAGACAGGAACTGCGTTAGGTGGAAGTTGACTTCTCCGTGTTTTCTGTTCACCCAAGTCGAAAGAATCGGTATTAGTCTATGTGCCCATCTACCGTTCTTAGCCGTGTTCTTAGCCGTGTTCTTCTTGTTGCACTTTCGTTGTACCACAAAAAAGCACTCTAAACGCATTCTGAACCCGTTATTTTTATTGTGTACATCCACAGGTCACTCCACTGCAGCCTGCTAGAATGATTAGAAGTGGTTCTGAACGATCAAATAATGCTATTTTGATGATACAAAAATTTCCAAAAATGCATTTATTGCACTTTCGTTGTACCACAAAAAAGCACTCTAAACGCATTCTGAACCCATTATTTTCATTATGTACATCCACGGGACACTCCACTGTAGCCTGCAAGAATTATTAGAAGTGGTTCTGAATAATCAAATAATGCTATTTTGATGATACAAACATCACCAAAAATGCATTTATTGCACTTTCGTTGTACCACAAAAAAGCACTCTAAACGCATTCTGAACCCGTTATTTTCATTATGTACATCCACGGGACACTCCACTGTAGCCTGCAAGAATTATTAGAAGTGGTTCTGAATAATCAAATAATGCTATATTGATGATACAAACATTGTCAAAAATGCATTTATTGCACTTTCGTTGTACCACAAAAAAAAGCATTCCAAACGCATTCTGAACCCGTTATTTTCATAATGTACACCCACGGGACACTCCACTGCAGTTTGCTAGAATGATTAGAAGTGGTTCTGAACGATCAAATAATGCCACTTCACCAAACACTCCACTTTCACCACCGTATTCTTCCGGCATCTCTCCACCTGTAGCACTCGCTGTCTTCCGCCAGGGTGATGCCGATAGGTATCATTCCAACGATAACGCATGCTTATTCCGACGAGATGGTTCTGTACGCACTCACCACTCGCATGGCCACGAGCCGGAACGTACTGCTCAGTTTACTGTGGTTCTGCTTGGTTTCCAGCGCTGCAACCCAAGTATCAGACCTCAGAATCGACGACGACACACCGGCCAGAAGACGCCTCTTGCTTCTACTGGGACCAGCGTTGTTCGGCATGATTCTAGCTATCGCGTTGATGACCTTCGAAGCCTTCTCACAGGCATATTCGACGTGGCTGTCATCGATCATCACTCCCAGGTATTTCAACACACGCTTCGAGACTATGGCGTGCTCCCCGATGGTGGTTTACAGTTACTGACCAATAACTAGCACTTCCGTTTTGTGGTGGGCTATCTGCAGCTTCGCTCCTTGCATCCAGTTACCAATCATGTCGATCGCCTCGCCTACATTTCCACCTCTTCCAGCGTCTCGCCTGCTACCATCAAGACGACGTCGTCCGCAAAGCCAACGATCTCAACTTCTTTGGGCAGCTTCAGCGTTAGCACGCCGTTGTACAGGGGTTGTGAGAAATATAGGGTACTAGCAAAACTTTGTCCAACTTTGGACTGTTGAAACTTCGTTGAATATTGTTCGATTTTTAATCTTCAAGAAACATTCGACTGGAAAACTAATCAAGTTTTATGGTGAGGCAATGGAAGTGACCATGGTTACCGGATACCGGAGATATTCCGGGTTTCCTGAGGGCATGTCTAAATTGCTAAATTTGTGATGAGTTTTTCTCAGAGTGTCCGTTACTAATCTGTGGTTTTTGTTCATACGCCAAAAATAGAACCATTTTCAAAGCAAATGACGTACCAATAGCTAAAATCGACTCAGAATCAACCGAGATATGGCCATTTCCCTGGAATCGGTCCTGAGGGAGGGTTCTGAGTGCGGTCAGTTCTTTCATTCACTCAAAACATGCCATGTGACACCTCTTTCTTCATGGTTTTTTACCAATAGGCTTTCTATAGACTTTATTTGGATTATTGACCACATTGGCCACTTCCGGAGCCACCGGAGTACCCCCGGAGAACCTGCAGTAGGGTACAATTTAATTTTTACACCAAAACATACCATGCGACACCTCTTTCTTCATGGTTTTGCATCAGTAGGCTTTCTATAGCATTGAATTGATCACAACAACTGGAAATCAGCTGATTTTCGAAATACTAATACAGATGCAAGTCAACATCAAGGCTATGCTATGATTATCTTGGTCGCAATGTTCATTGTTTACATTTTTTCATAACGAATCGCAAAGAATGAATATGCATCTTTGTCTTTTTCTCTTTTTCAATTTGATCTTACTACATACTCGCAGCGTGTGAGTATAGTCACATGAACACAGACAAAAGCAAAATTTGAATATTATGTAAGGATGAACTAAAATGCACCCCTGGAGTAAAGTGCTTTGTTTTTCGTTGCTTTCCCATTTGAGTGAGGAGCGTGTTCCCACCATCGACGTCTGTAAAAAAAGTTGGAAAAACTTTTGATTGACGATTGGTATTAAATACCTATTGAAACAATTCATAAACCGTACGATTCAATTCCCAGACGAGTCCAAGGCTAATTCTTGCTTCCGAAAAAATCTTTCTCAATGTTATTATTGAATTTTCATCGGTGTATACCAAACTTTTCATATCTTTTCATATCGTCACATCTTACATGTTGACGAAAAGTATTGAAAAAAGAACTGTCGTACGGCATGTATTGGTGTAAAAATATAATTGACCTCTGCTATAGGTTCTCCGGGGGCACCTCGATGGTTTCGAAATTGCCAATATGGTCAATAATCCACTTCTACAGAAACCTTTTTGATGAAACATCATGAAGAAAGAGCTGTTGCACGGCACGGTTTCTTGAAGATTAAAAATCGAACAATATTCAACGAAGTTTCAACAGTCCAAAGTTGGACAAAATTTTGCTAGTACCCTATATTTCTCACAACCCCTGTATATCCTGCCTTGTGGAATTCCCATCGTGATCCTAATCGATCTCTGAAAATCCGGATTGTAAAGGACCTGAAAACTAAAGCAGTACACTATGTGAAAGCTGACAAGGGCAACGCGGTCGTTATCACGAACAAGTACGATTACGACAATCAGATGGCAACGAAGAATAACAATGGACCGTATAGGCAGCTTCGAGTAGACCCCTAGAGCATGGTGAAACACGTGGAGAAAACACTAAAGGACGGGTTAGGCAAAAATGTGCGTCTATCTTGAAAAACTGTCGCATTAATGGCCCTTCGCTCATTTTCAACTTCTATTCAATTTTCATACTGCCGTACTCTAACGGAACTATCCTCCTACCCTCTTCTAAAGATCATTCTCTAGCTAATAAATCATCACACTAAAGCTTTATGTTAGCATTTCCAACCAACACTAAAGGAGTGTAAATCAATATTAGGAGATGGAGCAGGTCGTTTACGGGAATCAAATCCCATTCAACCCAGAATCAAAGATCTCCCCAAAGTCCACAAACTGGGGAATGAAATGCGAGAGATCATGTCTGCAGTTGGTTCCCTTACCCACAACAGGAGTTCACCCAGCAATTACAATCTTCAGGAGACATGAACGAGGTATCTTTCGACGTCAACCATTTGGAGGACTGGCTATTAACACAACGAGAGGATGCAGCATGGAGAAACAAGGTTCGGACGTACCTTAAGCGGGTTGCCTTTGTATGGAAGAGAACTACTTCTTTTTCCGAGGTAACTTCTGCAAGCAGACGAAGGGAGACGAATGGGAAATTCCCTATCTCCCTTCCTGACTGAACTTTTCATGGCTAACTTGGAGACAATCCTGAAGGAGAAAGGACTACTACCAAACCGTTGGTGGAGGTTTGTCGACGATATCTTCAGCGTAGTTAAACGGGAATCTTTTCCACAAATTTTAGATGAGTTCAGAAAAAGACGGAAAACTCGCATTTCTCGATATATACAACCATTCGTTCCAGCAAAAAATGGCCGCCTTTCATCACATAATTCATCGGATGCAGACTCTCGTACAATATAGTATGCTTTTTTTTAATCGGCGCATAAACTCAAGCTAATATTGAATCCCGAGCAAGGCCGGACACACTCAACTAGTAATGTATAAGTCTAAAATTGTACACTTAGCTATTGAGCGTCAAGCGTCTTTGGTCAGCAAAAAAGGTAAAGAATCTTCTGCAAAGCATATTCCGTGTCAAGTGGAAATCGAACATCGACGCTACTCGGTTGAACACCCGCTGCAAGCCGTAAATAGCGTTCCCTAAGCTATAATTAGTTCGAAGAAGTGGAAGTCTCCGCATAAGACTGTTGCGTAGTGATCGAGATTGAACATTACTGTTCACTTGTTGCACTCTGAAAACGTAAGGGCTCGACATTGATCAATTGGCAGCGATTCTCGTAGCTTGGAAGACGAAGTGGGTATCTCCCAGGCAGCTTACGGAGCGTGAAGCGAAGAAAACGTCGTTGCACAGATGCAATTCGCTCGGCCCCATTATTGTAGTTCGGGCTCCAGACCACCAAGGCAATATAAACTAAACGTGGGTTCGTGTCCTTGCTCATGGTATGACGCGATCGGATGAGTAGATGTCGGTAGTGTTTAACGTATTTTAAATATGGCGTCTTGGGCACGAATTTGAAAGTAGCTTGTATGAGCTGTCACGTCGGTTCGTCGGTGTCCCAACAAAGATCGCACGAGAGAGCAATAGAGCGATTTCACGCAACTGTGAAGTTCTTAGTAATTTTGAAAGCAAAACCAAGAGTTCTGGACGCTTTGTCGACGACGTACGATATATGGTGTGAGTATGTCAGCCTTGAGTCTAGAAAAAACGCCTAAGTCTTTCGCGCAATGCACCCGTTCGATAGTCGTGGCTAGTAGATTTTACACTTAGCTGGGTTGACCACCAGTCAGCAAAGATGTCAATCTAATTTTGGAGAGAACGAAAAATTTGCAGATCGTCTGCAAACGATAATCGTGGCCCTGTGATAACATGGTGAACGTCGTTGAAGTAAAGTAGAAATGCCAACGGTCCCAGATGGCAACCCTGAGGTATACCGGACTTTACGCAGAAGCTTGCTGAGCGACCAGTATCCAAAGTTACTGTCAGTTGGTGCTCCGTATGGTGTGAACGAAATCATCTCAAAAGATTTCCACCGATCCCTAGCCTATCGAGCTTAGCGATCGCAATTTCGTGGTTCAGCTTACGAGCAATTCAAAAAGTGTTGCTCTCCTTATTATAAACAGGAAACATATCCGCAGTCTTCCAGCAAGACGGAAAGATGCCGCTGGAAAGAGAGAGCTGGAATATGCGGCGCAGTTGATCCAAAAGACTAGTGATGTTCATTTTAAGAATAATCGACGGAACACCATCGGGTCCAGCCTTAGCGGAAGTCTTGTGAATGCTGCTCTAGAAATCGTATCTGTAGTGGCGTCGACAACGCTGAGCGTTTGGTTGGCCAAAGGAACATTACTGACCGCGGAAGTAATGAGATTAGAGGAGAGTTGCTCGTCTTCAAACACACTAGCAAATTTGGCTGAGAACAGGTTGCAAATGTCTTGTTGATTGCCAGCAGTTTCCCCATTGAAAATTATGGAAGAGGGTAAGCCGACTTTCCTGTGTTGCTCATTTACGAAGTTCCAGAAGGATTTCGGGTGTGATTTTAGCCGCCGTTGAATCCTCCTTTGATAGCGTTGAAAACAGAGTGAGACGACTTAACCGCTTATACTCGTGGTTGAGTCTGACATAGTAGCATTTCAGCGGCAGTGTGCGAAATTTAGTGAGTCATCTGAGAGCAACCTTCTTAGTTCTTTTCAACGAACGAAAATTTTTCGTCATCCACGGGACGCGAGAGTCGATATGGATGATCTTTTTGGAAACGTGCCTGTCAATAACATATGCCAAGACGTAAGAAAAGGTTTGTGCAGCAATGTTGACGTTTACAGGATCTAGAATATGCTCCCAATCTAGGTTAGACAGCACATGGACAATACTGCGATAGTCAGCTCTACGAAAGTCATATGACACAGCGTTTGGAGTGCTGATGAAAACATGGACAATAGTATTTTCGATCAAGATAACTAAAGCAGGGTGATGATGCACTTCCTTGACTAAAGGTTCGGGTGCCGTGGAGAGGAAAGGAGCTGTATCACGAGCAATCACAAAACAGAGATCCAGGGTGCAGTTGTTTTCATTGATTTATGACAGAATTGCGGTACTATAACTGTCCAGGACCTGCATGGTTCCTACGTGGAAAGATGAACGCTCGTGAAACCACTATGGGTTGGAGTCCATGCAATGTCCGGTAGGTTAAAATCGCCAAGAACAATAACTTCGTCGGAAGGGCCTGCTTTGTCTGAAGCGACCAAAGCGGATCGACAATGTGCGTTAATAAGCTCCAAGTCGCGGGTTCGATCGGGAGGGATGTACACTGCACAAAGAAGCAATTGACGATCACCAACGATGCCAGATTTACAGACTTTTGTATACGAAAAAAGTGGACACCATCTTGTTTGAACCCTTGTAACTTGTAACGATTTAATTTAATCTTCTTAGATAGCGTTGGGAGGCAATGCTATACTTATATCAACATGAAGCTTTAATGCGATAAAGTAACAGCTAGAGAAAGTTCTGAAGAGGATGGATTGATAGTTCCGCTAGAGTACGGCAGTTTGAAAATTGAACAGATGTTACTTATCCAATGCGCTCACCTCTGCCTAGTTCACTTGATGGGTGAGGGGATTTGAGATATGTCCTCAAATCCACTGACAAAAGAATGCGCGTTTGACTTACTCTTATAATGTTTAGATAGAAAAAAATATTCCAAAAATGAACTAGCTATTGCATAGATCGTAGCTTTACGAAATATTTGATTTGATATTTTATGCATAAAAAAACGGTGACCCCTTTTTTCGTGTACAGAAGTCTGTAAATTTGGCATCGTTGTGCCTCAGAAGTCATTTCGATTGGAAATTATGTTTCCGAGTTATGATTTGTTAAAAAATCTCAAATACGACGTATTGAAGGACTTTGCGAGATTCAAAATGGCCAAGTTTTAACAAAAATGTGAATGATTGATGTTAACAAACAATTATGCAAAGTTTCATGCAAATCGAAGAAGGAGGATTGATAATAGCAAAATTTGCCATATACAATCCTCAGACTTCATTATAGTAAACAAACTAACAGTTCTTCCTTCTGTGACACCTTTGATCATCCGTCTTGCTACGAAATCACACTTACATTAACCATTGTACAGGAGGGATGATCGTCCGTAACGGTCGCGTTGAATCCACAGCAGAGGAACTCCTCCTGCACCTGCTGTTTGATATCGGCCGGTGCCAGGGACCAGCCCTGTTCGGCAAATTCGCGCTGCTGCATCTGATTGACCGCCAGGCAGGAGCAGGCAATCGAGAACTGAATCAGGAACAGCATGAACAGAATAATCATGTACTGAAAAAAAAACAACGCACAGGTTAAAGGGTTATCACTAGCATATGAGGAAGCAACTTACGAAGAACAGCATCACCTGGTGATGCTTGACGGCTCCGACGAGACCGAGAATCGAGATCAGGATGAGAATCACACCGCAGGCCAGGATGCCACCGATAATCGGCAGATTGGTCACGATCGATGCAGCACGACCATAGACTCCGACGCCGATGAGCAGGAAGCCCACCATCTAAAATAAAATGAGAACGTTTTAATTAGAATCGATTCTTATGACGACGGGGCAGCAGGAAGTGTGAGAGAGGAAACACAAAAGGCTAAAAATAGCTCTCACTTCCTGATACTTTCGCTTTATCGTATATGGGATCGATCGATTTTTTCGCAATGAACAATCATACTGATACCTAATAGCTACCAAATCCCAACTAAATCATTCATGCCACCATTTTTCTGCTTGTTGTAGCACAGCACCCAACTCCAAACGAAATAGAAAGAAAAATATTTATGATATACTTACGACATAAAGGATATTCAATGCAATTAGTGCATTTTTAGAGCAATGAAAACCTCCACACATATTGATTGCAAGGTTATTTCCCTTTCTCCACTAAATAACAACTGTAATTGCCACACCAGGGATCAAACTGAACAAATTTTCACTTTTACACGATTTTCCTCGAAGGATATCGGGAAAATTATCACTTTTCTTTCGCAGCTGTCTCCTCTTTCGACTGATGGACCGTAAATTTGTTCGCGAAATTTTCCTAAGCCAGTCTCTTTTTGCTCTGTTTTTTCGTTTTGCAACACTGTTCGAATGTGTGCGAGTGTGTGGATGGATAAAACGTCAAAGCTAAAGACTGAGTTTTTAGGGATGTCCAGTACGGCACTTTCACGTTGTATACATAAGGTAGGAATCGTAAGTGAGAGCTCAAAGTGCTCGTCAAAGTGTTGTGAAGTGAATGCGATATATTAGCGAAGTAACACTTCCCACCCTTCCCGCATACACGCGAACTATAATCAAAAATCTAGATAAACATTTCAAAATGTCCTATCTGCATTAATCGATTCTCTTCATCGACTTTCTCTTTCGTCAATATTGTCTGTTGCAGTGGTGACTGGATTTTTGAGAATATTTTTTGAGTCGCACTTTGATGGTACGCTGACGAAAAACAACGAACTTTTTGGTTATTTTACGCCTAAAACGCTATTGAGTTTAACACATTTGGAAACAAAAAAGGTGTACCATTTGAATTTAAACACGTCTTCATTTTCAATCTAATTCATACTTGTAAAACCATATAATTGTTCACAAAAAAGTAATTTTACGCCATTCGACAGCCATTACAAGAGCAAATTTTCATTATGTCGTAAGTAACATTCGCACCGATCCGAGAAAAATAAAGTTTTGTTTTGATGACCGAAAAGTTATTCCTATTTCCAATTAAACACATATAATCTCATAGTGATAGCAATGTTTAACATATTTAGCCGGGTTTTAATCATACAAAGGCAAATCGCTAGGTTTCATGCTAAGAAATACTGGTTTTTGAGTCAAAAGTTATTATACGTCGTTTGGTGGACCCTATTGTTACTTAAGTCAAAGTGTATTTACCAGGATATTCGGGAGAATTATCAATTACGTCTCCTTACGTGCAGCCCATTCATCATTTTAGGACCACCGAAATCATCTTAGCAACAAACAGTTCGATTTATTCACTTTAATAATGAGAAAGCAAAACGACGAAAGTACACTTTTCACGGGTTTCTCAGTGTTGTTACTTAAGGCAAACGGCATCTCCTTAGAAATCGGGTGACTTAAGTAACATCGAAAACTATTTTGATCGAAAGGTGATTACGTCAAAAAGCAATTCGACTGGTAAATAAATTTAAAAGTGGGATGTGATCCTATATTCGGACAGTATATAGTGTAATAGCACAAACGCTCCGTCTCTAAAAATTTGGTGACTAACCTGCTATTTCAATTTTTCAGTGTACCACTACTACTGGATTGTACCACATGGCAACACTACTACTGGATTGTACTAGCATTTTCACCAAATGTATTAGAATGTTTTGGTTCTATCTCTTTCACTCTACTCAAAACTGAAATGCATAAAAAAATGACAAAATGATACACTCTTTGCACACTGTCAAAGAATCATTGTACACAAAATCAACTTTGTTTAAATCAAAACAAAAAAACTTCAGTAAAACCAGTGAAACTTTGTGATATTAGCGTCGTTTTGTCGTTTCTAACGCTGGTCTTCATGCCGGCCTCTTTCTACATTCGGTGTTCGAGGAGGGGGGCTGGAGGATCCGGAATAGATTCAAAATCCATTTCGGATTTTCGTTTTTCTTTCGACGTCAGTTGTGGAGGAGGATGATACAGGATCGGCATCAGAAACGACAGAGTGACGTCGATACCGCCGGTTTTATCGACCTGGAACTTTGTTAAGACACTTACCTAGGTGTGTTTCCGAATCCATGACTTCGGTTTTGTTGCGGGCCGTTTTCAGTTGATTGGGGCATTTTTTTCCGAATGTAAACAAGAACTCGAACAAGAAGGAAAAAAAGGCAGGGCACGCTAAAAATCGTTTACCCAAATTCTATATTGTTGAAATAAACATGCTTTTGACTTTAATTCAAACATATATATTTTTGATGCAAACATGTTTTTAATTTATTTTGAATTATTTATATGTTTATAGAATGAACATTTATATTTATGATTTAAATGAACAAAATTCGGTTCCGTGTAGCGTCCAAAACGTCAAATACAACAGGGAAAGGTTTTGCAGCTGAGTTATTGCGCATTTTGCACCTTACTAGACTCCCCACTTTGAAAGTGCGGGCCATGCGTATGACAGATAGAGTTGTCAAAGTGACAGTTATGATTATCCGAAGTGAGTGTCTGTTTTGGTTTTTGTTGTTGTTTTGATTTCAAGATCTTACACTCTCATTGCATTCTACTCGAAACACGTGTAAAAATAATTTTGCCCGTGGTGTAAAGGGCGAACACGAAATTATTGCGACACCGAAAATGTCATGCCAATTTTCTTATAATGTTTAGAATCAAACCAAAATTTTAGGGTAGTTTTATACATATATTTACTTCAAAAATCAAAAGAAAAGTTAATCGATGGAGCCTTGAGTGTAAAATTGAACGCATTTTCGCTTGATGCCCTCCATCAAAGTCTTTACAGTGTCATCCGGTACCAGTTTCTCAGTTTTTTTTTCCATTTTCTTAACATGTCCTTCTCGTCTTTGACTGTCTTCTTGCTCTTCCGAAGTTCCCGCTTCATTATTGCCCAGTACTGCTCCACCGGGCGCAGCTCCAGACAGTTTGGCGGATTCATGTCCTTTGGAACAAAATGGACAGAATTGGCCTCATACCACTCCAGGACACTTTTAGAATAGTGGCATGATGCCAAATCTGGCCAAAATAGCGGAGCTTCGTCGTGCTGCTGCAAGAACGGCAAAAGGCGCTTCTCGAGGCACTCAGATTTGTAGATCTCGCCATTTACTGTGCCCTTTGTCACGAAAGGCTCACTCCTCAGTCCGCAAGAGCAGATGGCCTGCCAAATGAGATATTTGGAGGCGAACTTCGACATTTTCTTCTTCTTAAATTTGTCGTCCACATCGAACTTGCCCTTGCCGGTAAAAAACTCCAACCCCGGAATTTGCTTAAAATCGGCTTTTATATACGTTTCGTCGTCCATCACACAGCAGCCATATTTTGTCAGCATCTTCTCGTAGAGCTTGCGTGCCCGAGTTTTAGCCGTCGATTGTTGCCGCTCATCGTGGTTTGGGAAGTTCTGTACCTTGTGTGTATGTTGTCCAGCTCTCTTCTTTGCATTCTGGACGTAGCTCTGCGACATGCCGATCTTTTTAGCCAAATCACGGCTTGAGACGTTGGGATTTGCTTTAATCATCCGCTTCACCTTTCCCTCCGTCTTTTTGTTCTCCGGTCCCGGTTTTCTTCCAGCTCCTTTGCCGTGGTCCAACGTCAACCGCTCCTGGAACCGCTTCAATACTCTGGAGACGGTTGAATGGTGAATGTTCAACATTTTTCCCAACTGCCGGTGCGACAGGTCAGGAAATTCCAGGTGTTTGGAAAAAAATTTGTTCTCTCAACTCGCGTTGGTTCACCTCCATTTTCGTTGAATCGAAAAACACGACTTCGAGTTTGACAGCACGTACACAATACACATCAATGAGAAAGTGTGCAAAATTTGGTTGATTTTTACCCAATGGTAAAAAAGTTATGCCCTGTTGAATGTGTCGCAATAATTTCGTGTTCGCCCTTTAGTGGTAAGCGTCGCAGCAGGTCTGGGTTCAATCCCAGTCAACGCTGCCGGGAAGTTCTGAGGCATAACATATCTGATCACGCCTTCCTTCGGGGTTCCCGGTTCATGAGTTGATGGGTCGATAGGTAGGGTCCAGATGTGGGCATGCACAGTTGTACACACCAACTGCTAATTTGGTAATAACTTTTCACTCAGATGTTGAAATTTATTTTTCTTTAAAGTAATTGATAAATTAGGCTCATAGTTTACTATAAATATGCGAAGATTAGGTAAAGCTTAACATTTGAATCAACACTAATCAATTTAACACTTAAATTCCGAGATGTGTAGTAAGCATTTCTCACCTCATTTTTACAACGCAAAAACAAATACAGTTTACTACTAGCAATAAAATCTACTTTATTTTACATATCTATAACAAGCTTACACTCTATTCTATCTACTGCTTCGAAAAGAACTATGTTCCGTCAACTGTGTGCAAAGTTATTAGCAAATGAGCAGTTCGTGACAAAACTGTATATGCCAAGCATAGGTGTGGGTAGCATTGGTGCTCAGCACGAAAAACAAGGAATATTCCTAAAATATAATATACACAATTAAGTACAACACATAACAGACGTTATCCAACGCCAACCCTGCGGTCGTATCTAGTATACAACCCTTCCAACTTTTTTCTAAAACTTAGCTATGAAAATAGTATAAATCACCTACCCTCTAGCATGTCCATCGTTGCACCAATACGAAACTATCGATATTAAATTGGCTCACTACTTGACTAGTCTATCGGTCCCAAGCAAATCGCACTATGTTTGTTTTAATTCGCTATGAAAGTTTGACAGATAAAATGAGGGGTTCGTGGATTTTCCTGTGTTTTGAGGAATGCATCGATTATAGTACGTTCAGACTACAGAGTTATAACATGTTATAGTGCTATCTTGATGGTGGTTTCTGTGTTGCAATTAGTTGACAACCGTTATAACATGTTATAACTCTCTAGTCTGGACAGCGTTTTATACCCCGTTCACATTACAGCGTATATCACGTGATATACGCTGTCTTGCAATGAGCACTCGTACATCTAGTTTTCACTGGAAATCCTATGTATGAGTGCTCATTGCAAGACAGCTTATATTACGTGATATAGGCTGTAATGTGAACGGGGTATTAGATTGGGACCGAAGATAGTACACTCATAAAATTCGACACATTTTATTGGCGAATTTCCATGATTTTCATTCCCTAATAAAATTGATATGGTTATTTTCCTTAACGACGTGTCCCCAAACATCATCCAAACCATTTGTGGAAAAGTTCGTCAATTTGGGTTATCGTTCATTTATGGTATTTGTTTATTAGGCAGATTGTTACTCCCAACAACGTTTACCCATTTTTTGGGAAGTTACGTTGTTACCGATCTGGATGTTTCTACCCAAAGTTGAGTGAAATTGAAATAGCGTAACCGTTAGACCCTTTGCAAAAATTACCCTTATCTGTCAGGGCAGCAATTTGTTTATTATTTATTTATCTCCTCCGACATTCGCATTGATAAAACGAAAAAAGTATGTGAAGAAAATAAAACGGGAAATTATACGCAAAAAAAACTCAATTGCAAATGCTAAAAATAATTGTGCAATCATCTCTGTTTTGCCATCGTATTCGTCTGCGTCGTCTTTGTTGTCCCAGGTGTTGCGAGTGAGAATAGATCGTGCGTTTCGAGTTGTGCTAGAGGTGTGGTTCTCTCGCCATTATTCACCATCCATCCGTCAGGTAACTAGAATTGGAATCGCCGTGAACAGGAGCACAACGGAGTCGGGAGTTCCCCATTCCGGAACTGTGGTGGAATGGATGATGTGGATACGGCTAGCTTCGCGGGGCTACGCGACAAAAATGAGATCATCAGCAAGTATCTGGAGCAGTTGAATCAACTGAAACAGCTGGCTGCGAGGCGGGGGCGAATCAACGAGGCGGAATTCAATCGCTACCTGATTCGACATTACTTTCACAATAATAACATTATCAATTATATCTTTGATAAGAACACCAGCCGGATTCTGCTCAAGACGGTCATCGACCGAAAGAAAAAGATTATCAACTTTATCTTCGTGCTGCTGACATTGTTTATTGTGTTTTCGTACAAACATGAAGTGTCGACGGTGGTGCTGCGGAACATCCAGAGCTTCATCTATCCGGGAATGCGGGTGTGGCGGAAGGTAACCGTACCGATCATCGCCAACTACCCGTCGCTGACGGAATACTACGACGAGAGCTGCCTACTGACGAATCCGTACTTCCAAGTGGAGAACCTCAACTGTGATCCGTGCGCGGACGTAGCCAACGTACTGGATCTGACCAGTATCGACCATGTGGCGGTCAATTATCCGTATATTTTTAAGGTAAGCTTAATATTAGTGGTATTGGACGGAAGTGGATTGAATTAATGCAGGATTGTTTCCGTTCCCAACAGACGCAGAAGGAACTAGTCGACATTAACCGATTGCAAGCGCTGTACGAACAGAACCGTGCCATTTTTACCAAGGATGCGTACAAAATCCAATCGACGCATACCGAGATCCGCAATCTGGACGATCTGTTCCGACACTTTGTGAACGCTAGTCAGCAGGTGGAGAGTCACAGCGTGTGGCGCTGTAACCGGATGGCACCGGCACGGTTACTGAGGTCAATTTTCCCCCGACCGGCGCGGCTTCCCGCCACAGGAGTCAGTCTGGAGCGGTACCTAGTAGTGGACACTCCGCAGGCACCACCGTACCGAATTCCGGACGCCGAGTGTGCCAACATGTTCGTCATCCAGGGCTACGGAAGCCGGACGTTTCTGCTTCGACCGACGCAGGAATGCCGGCACCGGTGTCGAACCCTGTCCGTACGGCTGCCCGCCAGCTACGGGTGTAAGTAGTCGACGGTGATGGCTTTTCGATTTCATGCAACTTCTAATTGATTTTCTTCTGTACAGTAATCTACAACTGGTGGTACTGGAAACCGATCTCGCTTCCCGAACAGTACGCCAAAACACCCTCCGTCAGCTACATCGGGTCCTACTGCTGAATAAGTGCTGTTCGTAGTGAGACCAGTGCAAAAGCAGCAGCAGCAGCACAAGACACCATCTCACCGAAGCCAAAATGCATTCAAAGTAGCTCTTTCAGGAAACGTACAACCGGAATATTGCTATTTATGTTGTGACGCAGAGGTGCTAAATGTCATAAACATGTTTGGGGGAAAAATGTTGGTGAATTTTTTTTCCCTCATACAATTTAGTGGTGACATCTCGTGCAGTAAAAATGTACACTTACCACCTATGTGAGTGACAGAGCAGACCAAAAGCACTTGTGTAAGTATCTTCATCGTTTTCTCTTTTTCATTTATTTTACGATGACGTGAGATTAGCCGTATTAGTCGTAAGGGCGTCGTGCGCGTGTGTGTGTATGTTTAGGCCGATTTGACTTTAGTTAAATGTTTTACGTGTACTTTTTGTAATGCATGGTTCACATTGTTGTAATAATAATTGACAAGCAAAATGGCATCAAGGTAGCCTTCTGATACATGTTATAACTCGCCAATGTGAACCTGCTATAAGATAAGCAGACAGCGTCGTCCAAGGGGAATTGCCCCTAGTACAACCAAGATTTAAAGAAAAAAAATGTTTTCGAATCTTGAATGTAGTATTTAATTCTTGTCTCGAAATTACAATGGACTGTTTTCAAACGAAAAGCCTGCAACTCTTCACAACTCTATCGGTCCTATATTTTTTTCTAAGTCTTAAGAGGTATCTAACAATCATTCTAGATTAAATTATCAATCGCCTTACATTTAGAAACAGCTTATTTATTTATTAAAACCTTAATTTATCCACATATGGTGAGATCTGACCCTTCCTACGAAATTTAAATTCGGACAAAAAAATGCTCCAATTATTGTTTATTGAATAGATAATGTCAGACAATTTCTGAATAATGCCAATATGGGACCCTTTTAATCCACGGTGAATAATTTGATTTGATGTTTCGCATGATGTATTTTATCCAAGTCAGACTTTGGCCACTTCCCCACCAGGTGTAACCAATATGACTCCCAGCATTCAATCTGACCAATGGCCTTTGACCATCCTCTTCATCAGTTCACGTGTGATTTGATGTGTAGCATTATGGATTTAGCATATGTCAATGTCTGGCCACTTCCAGCGTTGTAAAGTGTCACCTTCAATCAACAAAATGGAGAGTTTCACTAGCCACCTGATGTGAATATCAGATCCTCTAGTGTCAATATCTTTGTCACAATGTTATGGCGAGAATGACTTGATAATCGTGATGCAAATATTTCTCACTGGTGTCAGCAAATCGGTTCCAGAAAAAAAAGCTCATCGAGTAATTTCTTGATACACTTGATACACCTATTCATTAGACTGATGCAACTTTTGAAAAATTCGCTCCACAGTGCTCAAACGGCTTCAGATAGGGTCCTGATTAGCCTCCCAAAAATTGCACTCTATTGATAAGAAACTGAATTGGCGATTTGAAGTTTATATGGGTGAAAAAACAAATCTTTGATTCATATCTATCTAACAAAAAATAACCATATTGCTCTGCTTTAAAAACTTACTGACCATTTTCCTAATACTTTGAAAAAACTGTTTAATTTTATTTTTTTCTTCGATTTCAAAGTACTTTATGACAACCGACCGATGCGTTGCATAGCAACCTAGACTACATAATAAGATCGTGGTAGGGCTTTCCTTTTTGAATTTTCTTTGTTATTGTTGGATCCCAGCAATCATTGGACACGCAATCCAATCAGAGTAACCTTTGAATTAAATATTTTGTCACCTGACGATTAATTTCGAATTAGACTTCCAATAAAGATAGACTTGTTACAACCGCTCAAGATCATTTTATTCCGGAAGTACAGGACATAACAGTTATCATGATCAATTGACCCTGGAGTACGTCAATTGATGCGGCTTCTGGACGAGTCTGCAAAACGTGCGAATAAGACGAGCCACGTGGAGGAAAATTCTGGGGAATCGGCTTTCGCTGGGAATAAGGCTGGCTTCAAGTGCTTCGAATGTGGTCGTTTCGGGCACAAGCGTGTCGTCATGTTGCGGCGAAGGAACGCGAGAGGAATCTCAAACCGAATGGAAGAGGTAAACGAAAGTAGAAGGGCAATGCAAATGTCACTTGCGAAAATGAGGCGTCGTTTATTGCTGCTACGGGTAATAAAATAGACAAAGCAAAGTTTGATTATTTGGTTCTACATCAACAGACTGGGTTTAGTCCTAATGATGGATTAAGCAATACTAGGAAATACAATATAGTCAAGAAGTAACAAGCTCCAAAGGCCGTGAAGTCCAACTTAATTTCTAATTCTTAAAAATATATCACGGAATCTCTGACGCTGCGTCTCGCGTGCCAAGTGAAAATCAAATAAGGAAGCAAAACGATTGAAAACCCTTTGTAGCCCATTGATAGCACCATACGAACTATAGTTTGTACGACGAAAAGGTATTCTCAGCATTGCGTTGTTACGGAGTGCTCGTGGTTGAACGTTAACGTCGATTTGTTGTAGAATAGAAGGACAATTGATTCTGCCCTGTAGAATGGCTGCCACAAACAGGGCCCTTGTCGTATCTCTTCGAATCCACACCGACTTTCGTAGCTTGGTAGGCGATGAGGATCCCTCCAAGATGAATCGTCGTTGAATAGACTCTACTCTTTGTACACTGTTTTGGTAATTGGGATTCCATACAGGGCAGCAGTATTCTAACACCGACCGGACGAGAGAGCAGTAAAGCGACTTCAAACAGTAGATGTCCGTGAAACTTTTAGCTATCCTGGATGCTTTGTCGATCACGTACGAGATATGCTGACTGTATGTGAGTTGACAATCTAAGATGACTCCCAGATCCTTAATGTGATTCACACGATGTACGTCAACGCCCTCTAGGATATAACTGAATGTAATTGGATGTTTCTTCCATCAGAACGTGGTTACTGAACTTTTTGTTGGATTTACAACCATGCGATTCAGTTGGCACCAATTAACAAAAGTGTTGAGTTGGAGTTGGAGAAGGAGGCAGTCAGCGATGGCTCGGATTCGGAGATAGAGTTTCATGACGTCTGCGAACGACAGTCGTGGACCGTCGAGGACGAACTTGACGTCGTTGAAATACACAATAAATATCAACGGGCCGAGGTGGCTACCGTGCGGAATACCCGAAGTGGCAGGGAACGAAGGAGATCGGCAGTCGTCGATTGCAACTTCCAACTGACGATCAAATAGATAGAATGCGAACCATCGTAGAAGACTGTCGTTTATACCGAGCCTATTTAGTTTGGCGATCGCTGTCGCTATTCGCATAACAGTCCTATGTAGATAGGAAATCCATAGGACATGGGACTGTTATGCGAATAGCGGCAGTATAGGATGGTTCAACTTGTCGAAGGCGGCTGACAGGTCAGTGTAAATGACATCTGTTTGCATATGGTCTGTCATACTCTCCATAATGTACGAGGTGAGACACAGAAGGTTGGAAGTAGTCGATCGCACTGCCATGAAACCATGCAGATCTTCACTCAAGTGCTGCTTGAAGTGAGAGACTAATGGTTCCATAATGACCAACTCGAACAGTTTAGATATGGCACACAACGATGTGATGCCGCGATAGTTGTCGATGTTTCTTTTGCATCCCTTCTTATGCACTGGAAACATATCAGCTGATTTCCAGCAGGAAGGAAACACCCCACTGGAGAGGGACATTTCGAATAGAAGGCAGAGAGGAGCCACCAGGCTATCGATGTGTTGCTTGAGAAAGACGGAAGGAACTCCATCAGGTCCAGGCTTAAATGAAGACTTCAGTTGCGAAGCCGCCTTAGTTATTATAGCGAGTTCAATGTTGAAAGCTGCCAAAGATTGACCAGACATTGGAACATTACTGGCTGCTAGAGAAACGTGCTCGTCAGGTAGGTTCTCATCCGAGAATACACTCGCAAACTTGGTTGAGAACAGACGGCAAATGTATTGAGGGGATGAAGCTTCTTCGCCGTTCAGTACCATAGTCGATGGAAGACCAGACTCCTTTCGTTGCTCATTCACATAATTCCAAACAGTTTTCGGGTGAGCTCGAAGCTTCCGTTGAACATCTCGTTGATAATCCTCGCATAATGGTCCTTGAGTTGTAGGGTGTGGTACTTGGTGTATTTTCTTAGCGCGGCTCTTTTGGAAGACTTTTACATACGGAGTTCACTTGTTTGCCAAGGATGATTATTACCTTGTTTAGGAACGTGTCGCTCAATGACGTAAGCCAAAATATGCGAGAGCGTTTGTCCAAATTCAAAAGAAGTTCACCAATACTGTCGTGGTCAGCATTTCGGAAATCGTAGGAGACCTCTAGGGGTGGAATGACCTCAGGAATTTGGTTACATTCAAGTGCAATAACTGAAGGAGGATGGTGTGGAACAGTCTTTATCAACGGAGAAACAGCCATAGACAAATGCGAAGCACTACCCTGAGCGGTGACGAAGCAAAGGTCTAAGCTACGATTGTTCTCATTAACCACGTGGTTGATTTGCTTCAGAGTGGCGATACTGTAATGATCCAAAAGGCTTACAGCTCCAGAGGGAAATGTAGAACGGTCGTGGTCCGGATACAGGAATCCACCGTAAGATGATCGCCAATAAATTGCCGGTAGATTGAAGTCGCCAGTTAACGCATTGGTAGTGTTCGTGCCGAACCAGAGGACTTAAACACAAGCTGTCCCGAGTTTGTGTAACCACGCGAAGGTTTACTTACCACGCCGAACGGTTTGGATGGTACGATGTTGCCCTGCCGGGACTGCTGGAGCGAGTCCTTTTTTTTCTCGATTCTATCAAACAAACTGTTCGAGACGCTAAGACAGTTATTCTCCTAAATTGAGAGACTGTTACAATAGCTTGGTTCAGAATTTTGATAGACCGAAAAGGAGTGCCTTCAGCATCAGGTTTTTGGACTTTGATTTTAGACCGAGGACTGAACTTCTCACTATATTAGAGATTCTGGTCTCAACAGTGGTCTAAGCTTAAAACCTGATGAAGGTACTGGATGGAAGGAATTCGCATCTTAACAGATCGACAAACGATTTAAGACTAACGAAAACATTCAGTTAATAAGTTGGAAATTTGCCTTATATAGGGGTTTGAGTCTAGAAATATTAGTCTCCTGCTAAGATCTTCCTAACGTAATGTTGATAAGAACGAAAGAGTCAAAAATTATTCCTAATCTAAACTTTATCCATCGTTCTCCTTCAAGATCATGTGATGCATTTGGGACCAACGCAATCCGACTCCAACGCAGCGCCTTTACCTTTACTGGCGAAAGCGTATAGTTTCCCCACTGACGAACAGACATAGCACATTGGATTATTTCTCACTGTAAAACATCGTCGCTAAAACATATCCGCCATGTGTTGAGTACACTGTGGTGGGTAGTACGCTGTACAGATGGCGGTAGTGTGAAAACGTCAAACGCAAGGGAATTGACTATGCGCCAACTAAGATACTTTTAAATTGGCCGATAAATGCTTGTTCGATGAACATCTTGCGAGTGTTATGTCTGTTTGTCTGTGGTTTCCCTATGCTGAGTTTATTTTTTGTTTTATACTGCGTTGGGTACATTCTACGGAGCAAACGAGAGCGTACCGCTTATGCGTTCTCTTATTACATAACATTGACCTAGAATATTGTGTCATTTTCGTTGCTCTCGTGTTCATTGAACCTGGCTAAGCGAAGGGATGATGGAACAGAACAGCTGTTTATATTTGACTTTGAACTTTTATTTCTTTGCATCGTCTTGAGTGATTCGAGAACGTTCTTCAATTATTGCTAATTTATCGCATTCACAACAGGTAGATTGGGTAAAAGAGAACAATGAAAATTTAAAAAGGCAAAGCCTACCACGACCTTAATATCTGATCTAGGTTACTATGCAACGCATCGGTCGATTGTCATTTAACACCTCCGTTCAACCGAAAAGCCATAGCTTGTTTCGCAATTTTTCAAAGGTTCCCTTGACAGTCCTTTCGTAAAAATATCAGTGTAAATAATAAAGTTACATAGAATGTTGACATGTGTCATCTGCTTGTGATCCCGTGGTTCTTCAGCAATCCGGATGCAAGACTGGTTGTCCTCAAATAACGGTATCGGATGATGAAAGATGTCTCCAAGTTGTTCCAACAAGTTCTTGAGTCAAATAGTCTCACAGAGAATGTTATGCAGGTTCAACCGAGGATGTACATACGGCGGGGATGGCGTTCGCATTTAATGCGGAGGCATTTGTAGAGGACCTACCGTCAACCATAGACGGTCTTCGTCTTTCATTTATTTAACGTCGGTCTCTGTTCCGCAAACTAGTGCCAATCACTGTCGGGCATCTATTGCCATCCATTGACGGCAATCAAATGTGCAGGAACTTCCACACCTGCGTAGGACACACGAGCCGGGACCAACGGCTTTACTTCTCTTCTGAAGGAACACGTGACCAGAGATTTTATACCTAAGAAAAATCCCACCGAGCTCGGCTGGAAGTGAACCCAGACCGATTGGGGTGAGAAAGCAGTCACGCTTTCCTTTGACGGTCTACAGAAGCGGAGTGACTGGATCCATTGGAAAGCTGCAATCAACGGTGAACTAGAATCGTTCCGAAGTCAGCGCGAAAGAACATCGTAGACTGCAAATGGGTCTTCAAGGTGAAGTGTGATGAAGCTGGAAATGTAGATCGCTTCAGGGCTCGACTATAGTCACTATATTTATAGTCTGGCGGATAGCATTTCGATCTATTCAAAAGCGGAACCAATTCAATATATGATACAAGTTCTCCGGTAGTGGTAGAGCAGAACTACCATGGGGCGGACCAAGACTCAAATACTAAGGCCAATTGCACCAACAAATCTTCAAAGGTACACAAATTATCATTTTATAGCTTATATTTTGTGCCCCCCCATTGGTCCCTTACATTGTGTACATTTATGCTCTCATTGTGCCTACCACCTGTTCTTTCCAACTAGTCCAATCTGTCTAGCTTAACTTTATTACTCACGGTACCGTGGACGTGACCTATCGGATTGCCGACTTCTTCACGAGGTCTGCCCGTTCGTTTTGAATTGTTTGACTGCGCTTCGCTGAACGCTGTTCCACACACGTGGGGGCCGTTGGCGAAGTCGTGCATCGTTCGTGTCCGCCGACTCCTTGATCGGCGCTGGTGCTTTGCAGAGGGAAGTGGATGAAGCAAAAACTTGAACGAGAAACCAAAAAAACGACCCTGAAGGGTACATCCGTTACCATCTGTCAACCAAAAAGGGTACAATGTAACTAACCCGTCGTGGGGTCGTTTCCTCCTGATATCGGTCCTGGTTGACTGGACTTGCTTCCAGTTTGCTATCGGTTGGCCACTGAATGGCGGTGTCGTTCTGAAGCGCGTTCTGAATCGTGCCTGACGGAAAAAAAGTAAATGCCCGTCAGTGACGGCAAGTTGTTGGTTTCGAGATTTCCCCTTACCGGTTGTGATTAACGGGTTGCCGGTTGCTCTCGTATCCGCAACTGCAATGGTAAAACTACTTCCAACCGCTCGTTTGCTCTCGTCCAAATGGTACCGCCTGCCCTGATATCGTTTGTCGTGCCTGACGGAATAGGAGTTCTGATTAACGAGTTGCCAGTTTCACTCGTGTCCGCCACTGCAACAGCAAGGCAACTTCTCGCCGCACGTTTGTTGTTGGCCAACGTTCTTGAGTAACGTCAGCGTTCTGCCTAGTGCCGGCAGATACTCGGGACCCAGCCTCCGGCCGGTGCTGCCCGGTGTAGCCGATGGTTACCCTACCGGTGACTAATGGCTTGCCGACTTGCCTCGCAATGGAAAAACGACTTCTTCGTCCAGTGTTGGATCCCCCACGGACGTCTAGCGTAGCAGTCGACCAACGAGTTGCCGCTTATTGCGCAATCTGTTTCGTGGCACAAACTCCGCCGGGATTCCAGAGGTTTTTTCACTGTCCACCACACTCCAGATAACGATTCGGCCACTGCCCACACCGAGGCAAAGAACGAGAAACGTGAGCTTCGTTTAGCTCTTCACTACGGTCGGTGACACTAACCCAACTTTCCGAAAACTGCAATGGCGAATGAAACCGGAATCGTACGAGCTGCTGCTGGAACTTTTCCTACAGGGCGGTATCGCTTTGTGCTTGCCTTTTGCACGTCGTTGTTCGCCGGGCTGCTTTGCATTGTCGCTTGCGAAGAGGCCTTTTCCTTCGTTGAGCGGTACTTCTGTATGACAGTTTCGATGCGCGTTTTGAATTATCGGTTGGCGGAGCGAGGGTTGCTGCATTTATTTGCTTAAATGCTAATGATGACATACTCCGGTTAGGTTCCGGTAACAAAATGTCATGTAAAACTAACTACATCGTAACATATATTATAGACCAACAATTGAAAAGCTACTATCAACTTTTAAAACAAAACGTTGATTCCTCGCCAATCGATTGCAAATTACCAGCATCATCGGTAAGGGGAAACTTTTCCCAACCCAAAGATGGTGTTAGTTTGCGTAGGCGAGCCTTGAGTAACAAGAAAAGGGTTTCCGAAGTTTTGTTCACAATAGCTGATGTGCTCTTTTCTGTTGTTGGTTGTGATTTGCTCGATTGGTAACGCTATTTGACCGCTCAATTGCTTCCCGAGATTCTTTCCGCCAGACTATGAATATAGCGGCTATAGGATCGACTGGTGGCGAAAGGCTACTCGTTGCAGCACGTAAAATAGAGCACACAAATCATGTCACACTGTACAATACAGTGTTGCCGACAAAACAGTTGCTTGATCATGTCATAAGATTATCAATCTATTAAATAATCAATAACTATTTAATTTAACGTTTGGATGAAAAACGGTCATCCGCAAATTTGTAGCTGAGAAAATGCTATAGAACTTTTCATCAGGACAGTATGGAAAAAAGACTAGAAGACAATTAACAAAAAGTTTGGTTTTCCCACAGTAATTTCCATATAAACTTCAAATGGTTTGTGCCAAGTCAGTTTCTTACCAGATGAGTTTAATTTTTGGGAGGCTGATCAAGAATAGATTTGAAGCCGTTTGAGCACTGTGGAGCGAAAATTTAAAATGTTGCACCAGTCCACCACTATTCAATGCATGCAATTGGAGCATAAGGCTTAACACACATTATCAACATAGGCCCTTAATTCTAGGTTGCGTGCGACGCTGTCTGCTAAGTCCAAACGTTTTCTAAGTATATTTATTACGACGTACTTCCACTTGATAATTTACACTTTCCCCCCTTTTTTACGATATTACTCTAAAATACAATTTAAAAAAATAAGATTCTTTCCCGTTTCAAATTATGCTCTCGAGAGAAAAGAATTCGTTTGACTGAAGAACGAGTTAGTCCACTTGATTTAACCTAACTGCTAGTTCCCTCTTACTGTGTCTTCTTTTTTTAGTTTAAATTAATGCCAAAAATTATCCCCAAACCAACAATAGAAGAAAAAAAAGGTGCGACAATTAGACGAAAGTAAGAAGAATAGACGCTTCCTTAGATAAACAAACAAAAACAAAAGAACACAAACAAGCTAAAAGGAACAATGCCATAACAACTCAATTATAAATTAGTGAGAAAAAAAAGAAGTAAATTTACCCACAAATGGAATTATTGTTTTTCCCGCCAGTGAATGATATTATTATTAATCGAGGTGATCTTTATGGTTTAAATGGGAATTTTAGTGTATGCGAAATTGTCGATAAAAAGAAAAACAAAATGCGAGTAGAATTGTGCATTTTCCCCCTCCCACTGATAAACAAGATAAATCTTATTGCATTTTCCAGCCGAGAGAGAAAGAGAGAGAGAGAGAGAAGTAAACAGTATACATAGGGCAGAAAGCGCAAATGGTTGTAAATAACATTATTAGATGATGGGGAAGCAAGTAGTGCAGATTATATTTTTTTGCAGTAAAAGAAAGAAGAAAAGAAAAACCGAAAAATAGTGAACGCGAAACGGTCACAGTCAACAGTCAGAACAGTGAAAATAAAGTGTGACGAGAAAACTTGTATTTAATCGCTCAAAATTGAAATCTCCTTGCCTACTTCTATCGCCTAAGGAAAGTATGATGACCTCCCCGAAAACGTTCCGCTGTCCTGAATTTTACATTGGAGCAAATCCAGCAAAACAATTTTCCAATACTAGGTCCAATATCAGAAAAAAAGTTTGCATTTTTGGTAAGCTTTCAAGTAAACATAAGTCAAAAAATCTTAACCATGTACTTTTTTATATTGAAGCCTTAAACAGTTTTTTTTTGTGATTTGACAAAAATTTGTGATTTTTTTTTCAGTGTGTATTTTTTTTCTGAAAAGACAATCCAGTTGCTGTAAACTTTGTCTCAAGCATTTCGATTAAAACGGACGTGCTATGATAAATTGAAAAAATGGCCGAATTTTAGCCTAAATTAGGTTCATTGCCTCTAGTAAACAATTATGCGAAGTTTCATGGAATTCGGAGAAAGTAAAATAAAACCAACAATGTTGCCAGTCTTCTTGATTTGTTGTCTTCGATAAAATCGATTCGTCAGTTGGCGGGGATTTGCATTCAGAAGCAAACGGTCAATTGAGTTGGGTTCGGCCTTCAGTCTGGTATTCTGCATCTTCAGATTACCACTTTAAATCCAGCCTTATTTTTTAAAAGCGAAAAATGCTAAGTATATATATTTAGAAAACTGTTTGTCCGGTTTGGTGTCTTCGGCAATATTGTACGTAATGACAGGGACTATTGTCAACATCAACAACCCCAATGTAAAGGGTGTCCATCAAATTGCATCACGGAAAAAAAAACGCTGTAGAAAATTACCTAGTTAACCGATCCTTTTCAAACCCACCTTTTCTTTATGTCTTCCTCAGATTTGACCTCTTTGGGATGCTTCCGTAGTGCCTGCTTCATAATAGCCCAGTATTTTTCGATGGGCCTTAGTTGGTGGGGGGGGGGGGGTGGTTAACTTGCGTACGAAAGTGACCCGTTGGCTTCGTACCACTCCAGGACAACATTTGAATAATGGCACGAAGCTAGATCTGGCCAGAAGATCGTAGGGCTCTCATGTTGGTTCAACAGAGGCAGCAGACGCTTCTGTAGACACTCCTTGAGGTAGATCTCCCCGTTTACAGTTCCGGTAGTCACGAACGGCGCACTCCGTTTGCCACATGAGCAGATCGCTTGCCAAACTGCTTCCTTACTTCCTCCGGAACATCAAACTTGTGCTGGGCGGTGAAGAACAGTAGCCCAGGAAGCTGCTGGAAGTCCACCTTGACGTTAGTCTCATCATCCATGATGAGACAATGAGGCTTCGTCAGCATCTGGGTGTACAGTTTCCGGGCCCGTGACTTTCCCACCGTATTTTGCCGTTCGTCACGATTTGGAGCCTTCTGTACGTATGCAGTCCCTCTCGATCCTTGGCTCTCTGAACGAAAGACTTGGACAGTTTCAACTTTTTGGCCACATCCCTAACCGAAGCATTGGGATTCCATCAGTGCCAAGTACTCAACACCACCAGTGGTGTTGAGTACTTGGCACTGATGAAGTCTGCAAGTAGTAGACGAAATACGCGTATCTGTCAAAAGATAAGCAATTATAACGGAATTTAAAGGAAATAAACCAACCCACTCAAAGCTCTTCATAAAGGGGTTCCGTTAAGAGGTTCGACAAATTTAAAGGATTGGGATTCCGCCTAAACACTTTTACGACACGTTTGTGATCCTGATCACTAATAGAACATCCTTTCTGACCGCATTTCTCCTTCCGTTCGATGCTCAGAGTTTCGTAGTAACGTTTAATCTCACGACTCACCTTTCGATTCCGAGTTGTTTTCCGATGTCCCGATGAGGTAGTTGAGGATTTTCCAGCTGCTTGCGCAAAATCAATTCGCGACGTTGCTTTTCGCGTGACGCCATTTTTTTCAACATTCGAAAAACTGACAGCGATAAAAATACAGTGTAAACAATACACTCTAAACTACTTCTACCCAAATTTTCAAGAGAAAATACTCAATGGGTAATTTCCTACAGCATTTTTTTTTTTTCGTGATGCAATTTGATGTGGGACACCCTTTATGTATAGTACAAGGCGTTGGTCACTCTACACAGTGTGCCAAAATCAAACTTGGACGCACCCGGGCGCAGTCATTGGCGTTGTTTGGCACCCATGGTTACAATTTTTATGATCTGGTGCACAGAGTGATTTGGAAAAGAAACGTGATTTTCATTTATTTATTGTTTGGTTGGAATCGCTGGAGGAGGAATTGTTTTAAAAATAAATAGAGGAAAATATGCGTGGAAGCATCGGGAATGCGTTCCCGGATATATTGATTTGGTGAGTACGTTCCAGTTGAAGATTGTTCTTATACATTTCTCGATGGCATTTTCGAGGGGACGTGTCTTGCTTTTGTGCGCAGAGCGTTTGATGGTCGGTTTGGGAGTGCAGTTTCGAACGCCTTTGGATACGGTTGTGTTTTAAATTTGTTCTCTGTTTTGTGCGTGCATTCGCTTTCATAGTTTTCGGCTGCATTTGCCGGATTAGCCTCCCGGACGGTTATACTCGCTTTCCGAGAAGTTTTAGAATCGAGAAAGAAAACATGATTCATCATGTTTGCAAGCAACAGAAGATTTGACACTATCTGCGTTGTTTGATCTTTTCCCCCGGACCAGAAATTTGTGGCATCGCGAGTGATAATTTTAATTTTAGTTTATTTACGCGGTCATGATGTTGGTTCACTTGCAACTATTTTTGAAAAAAATTAAGTGTTTTCGAACGAACCAAAAGTGCTTCTGAACGAGGGGCTTATTACGGATGTCACTTCACGGTGAAAACTTGTCACTAGTCGTCACGGTGAAGTGATTCCCATTTGATTTGTACGGTAATCACGGCTCTTATTCTGAGTATCACTTGCTTATCACCGTGTAGTGACACCCGTAATAGGGCCCCGAATTTCGCAGTTGGGTGTGGTGAAATTCGTGCATTCCCGGTTGATTGTGGAAATCCGTATCACAAAACTACCCACCGAATCCTTTTTTTTTTGCCGTTCGACGACGACGGGTGTGCTTTCGCGAGAGTGACGTTTATTGGATCCGTTTCTTTGCACGGGTGTTTTTTTTTTGTAACTAGCGTAAGTGTGCCTGCGATTTGCATTGAGTGTCGGAGATTGTGAGTAAGCTGAAGGATGCCTTGCTGGATACGCCCAAGACTGGACGGACGGTAGCTGGGGAAAGCACTAGATGCGACGCTCCTTCCTGATGACCATGACAATGCAGCAAGTATTACAACAAAGATAATTGCTATTAGATATTTTTGCAAACAGTGACAGATAGCGGACATGAAGAACCATGAAGTGGAGGTGCCGGGCAAAGGTGTTATATCCTAGACAAATTGTAAGTTACAAATTCGCTGTTGTCGCTGTCGTAATCGCCTTCGTAGTCGCTGTAGGCAGTACCGTTAGTATATTTAAAATTAACCATCATCCGCTGAAAATATGAATTATCGCGTATTTCTGTTGTTCATTACATGCCTAGTGAAATTCGCGAACGTAATTTTATTTGAATAGCTTGTTTAACCAGGTCTTAAACAATCGTCACGTCGGTCATAGCTTGTTATGATTGCTTGAACCATGCGTAAAGAGAAAATCGAAACATTGAACGTCGTGTGAAAGTGGATCTTAATGAAGGCATAAGTACTCTTTCGTAGCTTCTACACGCAAACCAAAAATCTATTACAATGAATGTTAGTTCCATTTCCTATCATCCTCTGTTCATGAACATCGCAGCGAATGTTAGAAGTTGACCTTGCAGGCGATGTAATGGTTTTTTGCCTTTTTTATTTCGTGTTCTGTCTGTGCTTTCACCTACACAAGCAAGCATTTGCCTTGATTTTTATGTATAACATGGTAGAACGACGCACACCCTTGCCTCGAATCTCTCCAGCATAAAATGCATACGAAGTCGAGTGTGAGAGGAAATGAGCGCTTCTTGTTTGCTTTTAGGCTATCCTTTATTCAGAAGCATGGAGAGAGCAGTGGAGAAAGCACAGGTCTGATAATCGCAACGTTCGTTGTTCGAGTCCAGTCGGCAACCTTTTTCCTATTTTTTTTTCGACATAATTAATTTACCTCACTAATACACTCTACATTTTTCGGTCTCCAATTTTCTTGCATTGGACCGCAGCTAGGTATATCGCATCCTCGGTTCATGCGGTCTCCACTTACATCCTCTGATGATGAATCCCACATAATTGTAAGCGAATCTTACATCCACCGGTTGGGTGTAGTTTTAGGATTTCAAAGGTCGTCGGTTGCAGAAAAACGCGGTCCCAGGTCCTTTCATATTAAAAATGTATGGTAAGATCGCTTGTTTATCGTGTATTTTGTAAAACTTTTCGTTGTCGTCGCTGCCGGGTTTGAATAGTTATTAAAGCTTCAGTAACGCTATAATGTGATATGAGGGGCTTGGTGGCCTTAGAGCAACCGATTTTGCTTACTGAGCAGAACATCATGAGTCTAATGTCAAGCCCAATCCACATTCAAAATTGGTCAATCGTTTTATTTGTTAACATGACTGCATGGTAATAACAGCAACTCGATGAATAAAAAGGAGCTCGTCTGCCTAGTGGCAAACATTTTTGCTTACTGAGCAGAAGACCGTGGGTTCAATCCCAAGCTCCTTCGCGTTATATGATTGTTTGGACATCAATTCAACTTATCGTTTACCAAAACGAACCCTGCTGCAAACCCAACCCTATTACCCAATATCCCAGTGATTCCTCGTGGAAGTGCAGAGGTGTTCTCCGCTTCCATCAAAGCGAGTGTCACGTCAACACATTCCTACCCCTTCCTTTCTTGACCTGTGTTTGGGCGCGGCCGGCGCTGGTATTGCCTAGTTTGAGATCACCAGTTTTTACACATTGAGGATGATTGCTAGTCCCAAGCATCGTCTATTGGTTCTCTGTGTAATTACAGCAGGTCTGGCAATAACAGAGTAGCAACCGTGGGCGGTCAATCATGCTCATGGTTACAATTTTTATGATCTTTAAAGCTACTGGCAACACTGAACTTTTTCTGCGCCTGCGGAATGTTCATGTATCAAAATTTGATATTGATGTTGCCACAATACAATACAATTTTTACAAACCACAACCGTGAATCTCTATCAAGTCCCGCCAGTGATTCTCCGAAATCGAATTGAATTCCACAAAGTACCGTCAGCGCACATCCTATTGCCTGTCCGAAGAAGTACATGGAAAAATCAGGGCAATCGCTTGCATAGAAACACCACTCAATCAATCACAACATTACATGCTCCAGCTCCGTTATTAAAGTCGTTACTCAGACTCCCGTGACCGGAGAAAAGTACGTCCTACGAGTGGTTCTGATCAACCTTGAGCCGGGAACTATGTAGGCCTATTCTGCGCGTCGTGTGAGGTGAGATGACTCGCTGTCACAAGTGAAGTGACAATTGTCACCTCGGGTGAGGTGACTCCATTTGATTTGCATGGAGACTCACCTCACCCAAGGTGACAATTGGCACTTCACCTCACACGCCGCGCAGAATAGGCCTAATGGATTTAGTCCGAGCGGGACGACCATTTGGGTTGTTCTGACGGAATAACTTCGTTTTCGGACTGTCCGGTGCTGGTAACAACTGGGTCAAACGACACTACACCAAGGGTGCCGAACTGGTGGATTCTGTGCTGGATGTTGTCCGTAAGGAATACGAGGGTTGCGATTGCCTGCAGGGCTTTCAGCTTACGCACTCGCTCGGCGGTGAAACTGGCTCAGGTAAATTTTAAATCTTTTGTAACGTTGGCAGAATTCATTAGCAACAATACTTTCCTCGATACTGATCTCGAAGATTCGAGAAGAATACCCAGATCGCATCATGAACCCGTTCTCCATCGATCCATCGCACACAGTCTCCCCACCGTCGTAGAGCCATACATACATTTGAAAATGTCGTCCACCTTCATCGCCGATTCAGGAAATTTTCAAACACATCGTCGAACAATTTACGGCCATGTTCCGCCGGAAGGTTACACTGGTACACCGACGAGGGAACGGACGACATGGAGTTCACCGAAGCCGAGAGCAACATGAACGACCTGGTTTCGGAGTACCAGCAGTACCAGGAGACGACGATTGACGAGGAAGGAAAGTTCGACGAAGAAGAGGAAGGTGCCGACGAGTGATAATAGATGCACATGGCTAAAATGCTCGTTTTCATTATGCTACCATATACTACTGTTAATAATTGCTGAAATAAAATATGGTTATATTAAAAATTAAAACTGTAATTAATTTTGTTGCAAATAAAATGCAGCAGTGTGCACCACAAACAGAACGCGATTGGCAAATGTTTCATCGAATGTCCCCTTTTAGCATCCCACTGGCCAAAGAATACTTTGACTGTTTGTCCAATGCTTCCGCCAGCCAGATGGCACAGGAAATGTGCCCTCTTAATGTGAGTTAAGGTAAAGTTGAGATAATCATCCTTCCGGAAACACATGTCCAGAATCTCCAGCAGTAAACCTACTTTCAGTGGCTTGCCATAAGATGTTCCCAAACGACTGTATCCAATATGGTGCGCGATCAGTTGCTGAACAAATTTGGAGCTTTCCTTGGCAAGAACATGCGACCCGTCGGGAAATGCCAGCGGAAAATCAACCCCTTCATAATCCACATCTTCAGAGATCGTTCATTTAATATAATTCAACTCCTTGAATTTCACCTTCACCTCGCTTAGCATCTCTTCGACCTGCAGCCGGAACAGATTCGAGTGGTAGAAATATTCCGTTTCCTTCAACCGATTGATTTCCTCTACCGTTGGCTGTTTGTTCAGCTGCTTCATGGCTTTGATCGTCCGTTGGTGTTCTTCTTCCTTTCGATTCCGAAGATCCGACAATCGTGACTAGCACAAAGCATTCACCACTTTCTTGACTGCTTTCCGGCTCCGGCCACGCAAAATCGTCGTCGACAAATGAGTTCTCAGGTTTCGAAAAACAGAACAAAATCAAGAGTTGTCAAAATACCGGGTTGCTAAACAATTCTCGCGTCACTTTTCAAATAGTCCAATGTAACAAATGTAAACAAATCGAGTTAAGCGATACAAACTATTGCTCTTCTGTCATTGTATGTGATACAAAAACATCCATCCAAATTTACTTTCATTTATTTAAGATAATCATTGATCAAAAATTGTCCAATGTACAGTTTGAAATGATGGGTACATGATTGTTACTTTGGTCATTCGGACTGCCTAACATGATTGGTGCTCATTTTCCAAAGGCGGGGCCAATCTAAAGTTAGGTACTATACTCTGAAATCTGTGAAAGGGAATCTAGTATCATGTAGACAAAACGTTCAATGTAACAATCATTGATTATGTCATTGAGAAAAATCGTCCAATGTAACATGTCCGATGTACAACTCGACTTGTCAAAACGTCCTATGTGATTTTTTCTATGTTGTAGCATGAAATTCAAAGTAAAATTGTGATTTTACTGTTTCTTCTGAATTTTCAACGTTATTATATGCTGACTACATTAAAAATAGTAATGCAAAATGTATTGTTTTTAAACAGTTAAAAAAATAATCTGTCGAACTTCAACTTCGATTTTCTCAAAATGGTGGATATGTTACATTGGTCTATTTGAAAAGTGACGCGAGAATTCATTATTCAAAAGCAAACAAAAGTCAGTTCAATTACTTCTCGGCACTGTACACTCAAAAAATATTAAAATCTAAATAGTATAAAAGTTACGCTAAATAGCAACTCTCCGTACCGACGCAAAGGTCGGTATAAAGGGAGAGAATGCAAACTTAGTATAAAAATGGTTTATGCGTGCCATAGTATAAAATCGAAATATACTCACAATGCATAGATACGGTTTATTCAAGAGAATGTATTTTTTGCTTCTTTATTTCATTTATGGTAAATATTATTGTTTTCAAATGAAAATAAAAATTGTCTCAGGAAGCTTTTTTCATTAGTTTATTTTTTATTTATAATATTTAAAAAAATACTTACAATTTCGATGCTGCCCAGCAGATTACAAGCGCAGTAGAAATCCGCTGGGACAAAGCCCTTCACCAGCACGAAGCTCCGAAGGGAATCCAGATGTTCTTATTCCTGTCATTTTAGTAAACACTGATCGAATTCCACTCCGTTATTCAGAGTTAGTATAATTTTGACGAAAATTTTAATCGAACCAATGTATAAATTTTGAAAAACCATAAAATGCATAAAATTTAATCTATATTCGTTTTGTAATATTTTTGAGTGTAGAGCCAGCTGCGGCATACTGAGCTACACTGCGAAAAAAGTTGATGCAAAACAAGTGTGTATAGTAGCAATAAACAATAAACGTCCTCGGCTGGGATTGAACTCAGACAGACCTTGGGTGCGAAAGCAGTTACGCTTACCACTCAACCAACGCCATCTAATGTTTTGGCTGAGAAACGACAGCATTGCAAGGACCGGTGATATACACTACTTCTAAGCAACCAACATTCGTGTCATTAGGTATTCTTTGTTTTTAATATTTTTTTCATATTTTTTTAGCATTCTTTTCACTATTTTTGTTTTCCATTTTATCCCTTTTGCCTTTTGACTTACTTTCATTCGGTTGTGTTTTCATCTTTTTTTTTATCATATTACACGCACCGACAAACCGACATGAAACTAAAACTTAAGTTTTACTCGAAAATCTATAACGGCCGATTAAAATGTGCAGCGATCCGATCTGTCAAAAAGGTACGATTATTTTATCTAGATAAAAATAGTTTGTCCATAATAGATCGGACACGAACCAACTCATGAATTTTGCATGTATTAGCTAAACGATTTCCGCGAACATGGCGACAGATGTCAGTCGTGATTCTATAAATAGTTACTAATATGATCATTCATGTCAGTTAGTCGGTGTTACACGTTCATTTGCTTATTTGCATAGGGAACTAATACCACCGACGAACCGACGTGACAGCTCATACAAGCTACAGTCAACTTTCGCTCGTTGGGCTAAACCTGTAGCCCACACTTAGTGAAAGGCTTTCATACATGAGCCCCTCGAAAAAGAAATAGCACTGTCAAAAATGACATTTGACTTCGATTTAGGTAGGCTACGGTCCTACTAACGGGAGCCCAACTAAAACGTAGCCCACTTAAACATAGCCCAACGAGCGAAATTTGACTGTACTTTCAAATTCGTGCCCAATATTTAAAATACGTTAAACACTACCGACATCTACTCATCCGATCGCGTCATACCATTAGCAAGGACACGAACCCACGTATAATTTATATTGCCTTGGTTTACGTCTCACCTCATTTGACAGATCTGATCCCCCGTTTGAACGTTCGAATCGCATGTCGGTTCGTCGGTGCGTATACGACATAAACTGGTTTCTTTTTTTTTCGTTCTTCGAACCTGTGCAAACAAATCACATCGATGAGATAACTATTAAGGGCGCATACAACAATGGTGCCAACATTTTCCCACTCTTGGTGTGTGTGCTTGGGTTCAAGATAAAAGTGTGTCTATTTGAATATCATAGTTAGCTTATTTACCAAGATTAAAGTTCGTATTAAAAGAAACTCAAAATTCACATATAGTGGGAACTGTTTAGTCATTTCTATGCGATTGATATCTTGTGGGAATATCAACATTGTCCCCGGTTTTTTTAGGTGTAATAGGAGTAGGATGCTTTATTTCACTTATATAGTATGTAGCTATATCATTCATGATTGATTTTAAAATGTCTAGTGTGACCAATCGTATTTCCTCGACTGCCGCTGGTCCTACAGCGCCTGGTAATATGGCTTGAGATGAGAACCAGCTAGCAACGCGCGGAGGCATTTGATCAGTGTTCTATGTTTCTGCATCGGTAATACTTTCCCCTGTTTGGGTTCACATTTCTTCGTTTCGAAGTTGTGGAACATGGATTTTTTTTCTCTAAAAAAAAACATTCCCCATTTTATATGAGCGGTAGTTTACGGGGATGTAACATATACACAACCCAATAACGAAATGCTTTGCTTTTGTTTTAAGAACTCTGCATAATTTAGCGATCATTTCTCGATGCTCGTTCGGGTTAAGGTGGGTTGCAGATATTGCAAGCAAATAACCTACTTGCATGCAGTACTGCCAAATTATGGAGGCATCAACATTTCAAAAGGACAAAACTGCGTATCAAGGCTCAACCAAATTAAACTAATTTGAAATGTTGGTGCTGAATGTTCACCCCATCCCTACTTTTTTCGAACAAGCTGCGCAGATGATCTCTATTTTCTTAATTGCCTATTGTTTGCCCCCCCATCATATCTATTCGACCGCTATCTCTACGCACTCGCATCGCTCGCCGTTTATCCCCGCCTTAAACAACTAACAATATTTGTAACCTTACACACATCTTTGGCTAAAATTATACTATTCATCCTTGTTTTCCGATTGCGAATTTCTCCCTCCCATCTTCACTAAATCGTTTGTATCGGTTCCGTTCTATAGCCTAATGACTAACCTTTTGTTTAACTCGTGGTAATACCAGCGTGTGGTGGCCGCTTAGTCGATCTTGGACTTGAAGTACCGTTTGAATACGACCGGAACGAGGGAAAAGACAGAGAACACCGCCAGCAGCGTAACCGAGCCCCAACTGAAGGCATCGCTGGAACTAGTCATCTTGTAGAGGGTTTTGCCCGCCTGAATGGCAATGAAGGAGGGCGGTGCCACGCCCAGGAACGTTCCCAATGCGAACGGATACAGCGGCACGCCGATGACCGGAGCCACCAGGTTGATGAACCAATTCGGCAGGAATGGGGTCATCCGCAGGAACAGCATATAGCTGAGCAGATCTTCGCGATGTTTGTCGACCTGGTGGGCCCAGACGCGAGCCTTCTCCGGGAAGTAGTGTATGACCACCCGACGACCAACCAGTTGCGATAGCAGGTAGCACAGGGTGGCCCCGAGGGCCGAGCAGAAGCAGACCAGCGTCAATGCGACTGGGAAGTTGTACAGGAACCCACTCAGAATCGATAGGAACAGCGAACCGGGAATGGCAAACGTTTGAAGGCTGCAATAGAAAGGGGAATTGTGGATTGAAAGCACAATGATTGTGACTGTGGTAGGGACTCTACTTACAATATGTACACCAGAACAACGCCGGACATCACTTCCAGGTAGTAGAGATCTTTGTAGCGATCCAGCACACGGCCCAGCTGTTTGGCATCATCGATGTCGAACGGCACTTTGATGTACTGCTTTTCGGACCTGTGAAACAATTATACCAGTTGTGATGCCTGCATATAAACTTCAAGGATTCTAATGCTGCTTCGCTTAATCCCTTAACAATACTCACTCCTCCAGCTCAGGGAACATCGCATACACGTAGATCATCGCAAACAGGCTGGTGAAGAAGATCGACGCCAGAATGATCAGCGACTGTCGGGCAGATCGTTCCTCTTCTTTGTCTTCGCTGCTGGGTTCGTCCACCGTTGCTGGTCCCTTTCCATTGCACTCCACGCCGCTTCCGTTGGGTTGGGTCTTCCGCTGTGTGGTCGTCGAGTGAACACCGATGCCATTGCTCGTAGCATACCTCAGTTGACCGTTGGATGCTGGCGACGTCATAGCTCCTCCCAGCAGTGGCGCCTTATCGCTGGATGCTAAAACGAGTCAAGGAAAAGAAAAAAAAAATTAAAATTAGTTCCGTAAACAAAGAATCACACGACGAACACATGAATATGGCACGTTGTTTGATGTGACTGATAAGAGCGATGTGCATCAGTAGGAAGACGCGTGGTCTTAGTGGTAAGAAGAAGGGAATCAGCTGACGACTTCGCGTCCTAGATAAATACTGCGCGATTCAAAATCTGATTACGGCAAACCGAACTGCGTTGTGTTGAGTTGAGTTTGTGCTTGTTGTGGCGTTGAGCAGCGTTGTTGTTGTTTTTAATTCGAATGGCATTGAAGAGGTGCCGTTTTCAAATATAAATATACCTGCGCCGCCACTCTTCAATGGATTTTGTTGTTTCTTACTTGACACTGAAGACCGGACACGAACGTGCGATCGTGAGGTTTGTTCGAAAATTACAAAAACACAATAACAAGCTGCTGTTAAACACTCGATCACGACGCGTTTCAAATTCAATATGACTCAGGTGAAGAACGTTCTACCGGTTCTACAGTCTGCCCAATGACGTGTTCTTTTCTCCTCCGCTCCACCCGATGCCCTCAGCAATGGCGGCGGCTGTGGCGGCTGTTCATACATATTTATTTCTGATTGTAGGCTACAAGTATTGGCACATGTGCAGTGGAACGAGTTCTGATGAATAATTACATCGTTGAAACGACATTCTGTTTGTCTAGAGTTTGAACACGAGTTTAATGTTTAGAAACTACGATAGCACGTCACCACTGCAATCAATAATGCTTGGCTATTTACAAACCAGAACATTTATTCCAATAACACTAATTACCCACAAGTCCACTTTAACACTCCGAACACGATGCCTCCGGTAAAATGTGTAACAGCAGCAAAATTTCAATGCTTGAAAAAGCTATTAATTTCTTGACGAATTTCAAATCTATTGGCGCTATATGAAACTACGGACTTTAAAGATTATTCGGTATCAATAGATTTAAAATCTATAGAGAAATTGCTGAGCAATGATTTTTAAAACATTGAGAATTTGCCGTTACAGATTTTACCGGAGACATGCGGGTTCAGTGTTGAAATATGTTACAAATAATGCTCATGCTCATAGTTTGTCATTCAAGTGTATAAACAATAAATTTTAATGTACTCGAAATTCAACAGTAAAAATCATTGTGATTTCATTGTTTTATTATAATTATTTTTTTTTTCGGGATACCTGACTTATTTTTGATAGACCAGGAATCAATTTTGACAAACACCATCTCGAAAATCGGATGAGCAGCTAAAGCCCTACAGTAAAAAAAAGTATGGAAAACTGTCACCACAAAACTGAAAAAAGCTGTTCCGATCGAGCAAAGCTGTGCATTTTGACGGTTCGATTGGAACAACTTTTGACAGACGTCCATACTTTTACTGTAGGGCTTTATGATCAACAACTAATAGCGAATTGACAAATCCAAGTTTCAATCGGCCACCGTGGCGCTGCAATCGCAGCGGTGATAAGTCTGAAATAATGTGTCAAACTGAATACATTTTTGAAATTTCAACCAAAAAACTATTATTTTGTATTTATTCTAGCGAGTTTCTGTGGGAGTCAAAACATGATCCGAGCAAAAAAGTAGTACTCGTAATAATGGTATATAATTCTGAATTTTATCGTGCTTTGTTTCGAAAATATCTTCCAAATAAACAAACATCATCCAGATCACCCGATTCGTCCACCGACTAAATCTATTGCCACTTAAAAATTAATTTCAGTCGGTGTATTAATCAGCAGATTAAATCGTTTTTCGTCTGGTGCTACACCGAGCAATCGGCCTATTTAATAGTTTTTAGTTGATTGATTTAGTCGGTCAACTTTGTCTGTTGTTTAATCGGCAGATGATTTCAAACCTTAACATGTTTTCTGTAATTTAACTGTCTTGAAGTAGCTTTTTATTTAGGAACAATGCATTACAAAATAATTTTATGCATTTTGTACAAGGTTCATCCATGCTGACAAGAAATTTGCATGAAATTACATTGAAATTAAACAATTTTGCAAACAATCAATGAAATTGTCAAGGGCTGTCACAGACTTATCACCGTCGGTTAGTGCTTATTCCTGCCACCAGGCGCGCAGGAGTTTAAGTTGGATTTCTCAATTATCGGGGTTGGAACCAGAACTAAGCATTGCGAAACCGAACTTTTTGTCAGTGCGAACCTCAACCTGAGCTGGGTTTTAAAAACAAACGATCAAACTGACGTTTGTCAGAAAACAAGCAGACCCAATCTTGATACCCGATCCAGGTTGGAACTGAATAATAAACGAATTCGCTATAGTAGAATCCAAGTGAAATTTATGCGTCACTAGTGGCGGGAAATAGTACTAGTCGATGGTGATAAATTTATGACAGCCGGTTTAAATTCCAGAGTTTGAGTGATAAATTATTGAAAAAAGAGTTCAAAATAGTGAGATACGAGCATTACTATGGATGATACATGTAGGAAATTTGTCGAATAATGTAATGTTATATTAATTTTCATTACAATGTCATTGAAAGATAATGAAAATGTGTTTATTGATGCACCGATATTATTTAGGTTATGTTTTGTATGATTGAAATCGACGTCCGAGGCAGTCTGCTGGATGATGTTGGGGACTCCGTGCTAGCGGATTTTAGAGACCTAGCATATTGTGTGCCTGGGCTACACCAGTAGATCAGCAGCAAAGCAAGAATTGAGGGGAATGGATTTGTTCTGCAAAGTTCCTATCCCGGGGAGCGACCACATGAAGTTAATCTCAAATTTAATGTTGTCGGGGGGACAACAAACTTTGGAACTTATATTCTTCTGATCCGTAAACAGTGGCAACCTTTCTCCACTGCACGAATTTGTTGCTCCCCGAATTTGGAACTCGAAAAAGTTGAAATTTGTTCTCGTTGCATCCCGGGATAATGCAACGATCCTGCAACAACAATGAGAATGTTAAGCGGTGGAACTTGTGTTTACGTAGTCTAAAAATTCAACTATTTTCCTGATTGCAAGCAGTGATATCATTGTAGTCATTTGTCACTTTGAAGAAGGACACTTTTCCTACAATTCTACAAGCTTTTTGACCACCAAAAACGTACCAAGACAAGACAAATTTTCAATTTAAAAAGTGAAAATTCTGATATGAGTCACGTTTGACCACCCCCCGAGCATCTAGACAGAAAACCTTAGTTTCACGTACCCACTTGCAAATTGTAGATGTCTCCACCGTACGTAAACAATGGGGTCAGCCAAAGTTGGTGGCACAACTTTTTTCACATCAGAAAACATGTTTTTGTTTCACTTCATGTGGACTTCGAAAGCAAACCAAGAATAAATTTTGAGTGAGTCGTATTACTTTATTAATCCACCAGTGGTGTGATCTGGCACTTCTTATTTCTGTAAATTCTGATATTCTTTTTAAAAATTACCCCGAAAGCACCACCCTAATAAAAATGTTCCATACACGAACCATAACCCAAATGGTTTAACCATATGACACATAGTTCGGAACCTGCACAGGTTTTTAAGCACTTTTTATGGTTATTTCCTATGTGGGCACTGGGCAGTAACCCGATTAAAGGGTTTCGTTTATTTCGGTTATGTGGTTGCCGACAAACATCACTTAATTCCCGGATTTTAGGGTCTTGTTCCGTCCATATATCCGGAACCAGTCAATCGATTGAAAGTCTATTAATTAACATTCTATAGAATCATGGTAGCTTTCATTTGGTTGTTGTTGCGTTCAATTCGGTAGAGTGGTTGCCGAGAAATACATATAAGAAAATTGTCTTACGCGCTCTCTCACACACATAAATAGACAGGCATTTTCCGATCCCGTCATGCTGAGTCGATTGGAAGACTATTAGAAAAAATATCAATGTTTTTATAAAAAGTTAAAAAAAAAAAACAAAAAACTTAAAACCGGGAAAAAAAAGTTGATAAAAAAATAAGACCAATTGTAAATTAACTCCACCATTATTCGATTTGACAGAACCAGAGTACCAGAATTTTCGGGGTACATTAGCATTACACTGGAGCTGTCTAGATGCTCGGGGGGTGCGTTTGACAGATGTTTACATTTTTATCACCGCTACGACAACAGCGCCACGGGTGGGCGGTAATTGGTTGGATTTTACTATAAGAGAAGAGGTGACAATACGGGGGCGAAAATGAACCACTTTTCTGTCAAACGTGAACCAGCTCCTGATTGGCCGATTTCATTTGCGTAAGATAGAGATAGAGATAGATAAAGATAAAGATAGAGATAGAAATAAAAGAGGAAGAAGCCAATTGTCAACTCTTCCTCTTAGATCAACAACAGAGGGATTTTCGAACATTATAATTTATTTTCGAAGTGTCAAATGTAAGTGAAAATTTACCAAAAAATGCCCAAATGGAACACAGCCCAACAGTTTACCGAGTTAAATTTAACTCGTGGTTAAAAGTGACATTTTGAAAGTTATTCTCTATGTTCGAAAATCCCTGTGCTGTCGATCGACCGGTTTTCGATAAGAACTCAGCCACGGTTGTCTAAATTTAACTTCTTGTCTGTCAGAAATAACCACGTTCGGATAGTATAGGGTTAATCGATAACTTTCCGACTGTCAAATTTTAACCAAAAGTTAAAAAAAAATCCACCAAATGGTTCAGAGCCTTAGTAAATTGAAACGGGAAATCAGTGTAATTGTTATTCGCTGCTGCGCGAGTTACATAACCACAACCATGCCGACAGGGGATCCGACCCCCGGTACTGGAGGCACCGGGAACAAGCAGAAAACTCACGAAGTCAACGTATACCGCTAAAATTATGTCGGATCATATCGGCTGATTGTAGAGCTACTCGACGACAAGGAAGGCACGATCCGTATCAACAAGCTGACGCTAGGAAAACCGCTGAGCAAAACAAAGGACTACAAGGACAATGTCATCAACATGCGTCCTATAGGACTGAAAAAACTGCTGGTATTTGTCAGGAACCTAAGCATTGCCAAC